AGGCGACGGAAAGCACCTGAAGGTCTGGGCTTGTTGTTCCGTCTTGGCAGCCAAGGTCACAGTGGCACGGGGGCAAGAGGGCATGCTGGTCTTGCAGAGCGCGTGGAACCTGTCCGCGGACCGGACCTTTGCGAAGCGTCTGCTCGCCACCAACAAACTTCTTTCCTGCGAACCTCATCGTGCATGGCTTGTGCTCTGCCCAGAACACTGCTTTGCCTCTGAAGTGCATCGCCGAAAAGTTGACCCAAGCATGGAGCGGGAAGGGGTGGCCAGGACCGACATGCGATGAGCATGACTTCTTTCATGAACTTTTGTTTCTTGCATGCTTGTCACACAGAGGAGATGCCTATGCAGTCGACGTGCCGGTGGAGCCTTGCGCCAAGAAAAGACAGCCCAGCTGAGCCAAACAAAGTCGCATTTTCTGTGCATGCATGTGCTTCGGTGCGAGCATTGCAAGTCGCATGTCGCCCGGATTTCATGCAAAGCCTGGACGCCAGTGTGGGTCTCTGTACACTTGCTTCGGTGCTCAGGATCGCAAGCATGCAATCCAAGATCCCCGAATAAAGAAGCAGGCAAGAGCTCATGGGCTGGTTTAGGAGAACATTGCGCTCATAGGGTCAAATCCTACGGTATGTGCGTAGATGCAATCTGGATGCAAACTTCGCCTGTGCAGCACAAGTACTGTCGGCGCGCTCTGCAGAGGCAGTTCGATGCAAGCACCATTCCAAATGTTGCATATGCAAACAATGGGCGGAGACATCTTGCGTAAAGGGTCTCTTGTATTTAGTGCTTTCTTGTCTACAAGCGTCCCCAGCGCCCTCTATTCCTACTCGTCCTTGACCCCTCGTCCGCTCGTAGGTCCAGCCAAGGCTGCCACGGAAAGCCTTGCGAACGCACAGAGGTTACTTGGGAGTTCGACGTCGCACGCTGTTGTGGCAGTGGCATGGCCTCGCCTTTGCAGGGAGCATTCTGTTGACGGCTCAGAGGCAGGAGCGGTAGATGGTGCATCGTCTCGGCAGTCTGGCGGGAGGTCCTCCTCCCTCCGACGGAGTAATTCGCTTCCAGCGGCACAACCCCCTCGATCGAAAACACTTGAATTTCAAGGTCATTTGCCGACGCTCACAAAAAACAGAGACATATGGTCATATAATGCATACATACGTAGACAAATTGTGAGGTCATGCGTTAAAGCATAGGTGCCCGTGCAGCGGTTGACGCGCCAAGAGAGGAAGCGGTAGAGGTGGAAGAGGACGATGAGCGTACAAATCTCTATATCTATGTGTATATCTAGGTGCCTGTGCAGCGTTTGACGCGCCAGGAGAGGAAGCAGTAGAGGTGGAAGAGGACGATGAGCGTACAAAAGATGAAAGGCTGAAGGAGATTGCAAGGAGTGTTGAGCACCATCTACGCACATCCCAAAGAACAAATTTTGCAAAACACAAGTCTCACACGTGTGCAAGCTGGTAGACGTAGCGGCCAGAATAGCTTGGCTCCTCCACATTTCGGATGTCCGTAAGATAACGTCCATACCGTTCCGTGCGGTCGAACCACACTGCCAGGCAGGTGGCAGTTGCAGCTGCAAGCTGCAGCTCTTCATTGTTAGGATGCATAGAAAACGCCGTATTCAAACAAATCTCCCAAAATACCAGAAAAAAATTACAGCCGTTCCAGGCCTTCGGGTTGAAGCGTGGGTACGGATCGTGCGCGATCATGCCATTCATGAAGTGAGGTTGGCTGTGGGCGATTCGGTTGGCCGAAGCCCACCTTCGAAACGTATTGGAACATTCCAAGAGGTCCTCACATCGCATTATAATGCATTTCTGCTGCGAGCAAGGCATGACGTACCTGCACAACACCCAGACCGGGGCCTCCTGCTGGACGTTGGATGCACTGGCCGAGATGGACAGGCGAGCACAACCGCGGCCGGCGGCGCCGCCTCGCGCTGTGGAGCCGGCGCCTCCGCCTGTTGAGTCGCCGCCAGGCCTCATCCCTGGCAACCCGGAGGCGCGATGGCGACGGGCACCACGCACTCCCTGAGCGGCGTGAACAGAGGGCCACGCGGCAACTTGCGGTTGCCCCTGACTCTCCACTCTGGCTCCTTGCTCGTATTTGTACGGACTTCAGGCTTTGTGGACTAGGAGGCGTGCGGGTCCCACGGCAACAAGTACGTGAGGCACTCCGACGCACAAGTCTCACACGCGTGCAAGCTGGTAGACGTAGCGGCCAGAATAGCCTGGCTCCTCCATATTTCGGATGTCACATTCCTGGTCAGACGATGGGTTGCTGTGTCCTCGGACTTTTCGGATAGCTTGCTCCTGCTTTGCAACTCAAAAAAATGCGTGGTGTGACAAGTCGGTGTGCTCGCACGTGTCATCCGCAGCTGAGATTCTGACCCCTCGGATAGCTTGATCCAACTTTGCAAATCGAAAGCCTGCGGGTGTCTGAGAAGTCGGCGTGCTCGCACGTGTCATCCGCAGCGGCAGACGAAGCCGTGCTTCTTCACACCTTCGTCGGGTGCTACTGCAGAGGAACTAGTAAGCCACTACTACTCCGTCAACTTTTTTGACCAAGTGGCATTGGTGCGATTCCCGATTCGTTGGACAACTTTTGCATCGAGCTTCATTCCAGGAAGAGAGGGCAAGGAGGGACAAGAGAGCCACAGGAAGAGAAAGAAACACAGGGAACAAGAGGAAGGAGCCCAAACCTTAACGGCTTAAAGCTCCATGCCAGAGACTCTGCAGACGCAAATCGTCAGACATGAGACCATTTTCCCAAGTTTTCCGCATCGCCAGTTCGTGGTTTCGGAATCACCGGTTTGTAGTGCAAAACATGCATTGCGAAATCGTGGATTTTGGCTTCCGAATGATGCGTGTGGTTTCCGATCAGCCGTTCTGGTTGCCCCATCAACCGTTTTGGTGTCCGAATCAGTTTCTGGCTCAGCCGTCATTGTTCCGAATCAGCGGTTTTGGTTTCCGGATCATGGTTGGTTTCCGATTCAGCCGTTCTGGTTACAACAATTTCCGCCGACCACCGTTTACATCCTCCTTCTTGATGCTAGTCGAAATTCTTTGCTCGCCCGGCGGATTCGTTGTTTGTTTGGGCTCCAAATCGGATGTGTGAACCCAAACTCGAAACCTCGACCCCACACCCTGTAAACACATCTACAACCCCAGACCCTAAAGCCCGCTACCCACTACATCCGCACCCCCAATGCCAGAACCCTTCCCGAAGATTGGGTTAGTTCTAAGCTTGTTTCGGCGATAACACCACGTCGGAGACGTGCTCAAGCTTCACAACTTCACAATCAGCCCTTTGTTAAGTCACTTTCATAACCATGCTGAAAGTTTACACGAACGCCCCACTTTCCGACCCCATGATTCCCATCAAAAATCCATTGAACAGCCTATGTTCGAAGCCTGGATGATTGGTCATATTTTTCCGTAAGCTACCATAGAGTTCCGCTTGACAATTTTATCGTTTTTTGTTTCGCAAAAGTTTAGTCAAATTTTTTCGGCTCCTCGATTTCTATGCCAGACAAAAATAACGGGGCTCTGACTCAGAGGTGTTGCTGAAGGCGGAGATTCGTCGGATACCGAACCCGCTTCTGGGCCCAAGGGGCTTTCGAGATGTCAAGGATGTAAAGCATGGGATTTACGGGTTGAAGGTTGGGGGCCGAATAAGATAGGAGCGTGAATAAACACCAATGTTATTATTTAGAGTTCTTCAAATATACTCGTATTATAGCATTCCCCAAACCCTATTAAAATTCTTGAGGGCACTTCGGGGATCCACAGTTTAGGGCCTTTTGGCGTAGGGCTTGTTTGGAGGAGCCATGGTCTTAGGGCCTAGAGGACCTGTCGAAGTTTGGCACAAGAAAGCCCCAACAAATGCAAGGCCGCCAACACCAAGGCCGTGTGATCAGACAGGTGTCAGAGCGCGGCAGGTGCTTAAACCCTACTCATCCCCTGCAGCCCACAGCCACGGAACTTTAAACCCTGGCACTCCAAACCCTAAACCCTTTCAAGCCCGAAGTCTTCACCCTACCTCTTACATAGCTCGCAGGCCTTCTGAAGAGAGCTGTAGACCGGATGGAAACCACCCCTCATCCTAATAGCTTGTGAGGTCACTCAAAACTGGATCCTTTGAGCTCAGGTTTCGAGACCGCATCTAGCACCACAGCCTCTCGCACTGTACCGGGAGGATCTGTCTAGGGTTTTAGGGTTTAGGGTTCAGGGTTTGGGGTGTAGGGTTTGTGGTATAGGGTTTTGTGAATGTATAGTGTTTTAGGTCTAGGATCTCCGTTTCGGAGCCCTGGACCCTAGGACGTCCTATGTGTCCTGAAACCCCAAAAGCCCTACGGACCTAAAGCCTAAAAGCCTAGAGTCCTAGAGCCCTGACCCTAAGCATCGAACTGCATTCGTCCTATGGTTCAGGGCTCAGTCTCTCGTTCTGCCTATTGGCGCGGAAGAAGCAAGCGCCAGCATATGGAGGAAAAGCCGCCTGCCAAAGCCATGGGTTTAGTGTTTGTGGTTTACGCATCATCGGCATTTCTGGTAGGAACTAGTACTGATGGTATTATGGAAACTTGCAAATCCTGGTAAGCACGGTCATAAGGAGTGTCGTCGATACTGCAGCATCTGCAAACAAAGAACGGTAGCGTACCTTCTAGTGCACGAATACCATGAGGCGGTTGGTCTTGACAGTCGAGAAACGCTGTTTGCCTCTGCTGTTCATGTTACAGACCCAGGACATCTACCCCGAAGCTCGAATCTAGTCATTCAGGCCATTGTTTCATCTTTGTGCTAACCGCAAATCAGCATGATTAGCCACGCTCTACGTTTTGCGCAGCGTCGATGACGACCAGTTGGCATGACTAGCACAAAGGATCAGAAGAGAAGGACCTCAAATAGCAAGGATCCTCATCAAAGGACCCTTCATGAGGGTTTGCCCGACTTTGTTCGACGTCCCCCCTCCTAGTACAGTGATACACTTCTGTCGCCATGGCTCTCCTCAACGAGGTAGGGCACCAGAAGCTCCCGCGCTTTGGGGGGTTCCTGTTTTGGGGCTCAGAGTTTGAAGGCTCAGGGTGTCGGGCACTTCGAGAGTTTCATGTTTTGGGGTTTATGGGTAGTGTAGGAACCCTAAACCCTAAGCCCTAAACCCTAAACCCTGATATTCGGAGTAGTTTTGGGGTTTAAGATACAATTTTAATATCGTCCGATCCCCATCTTCATATTGAGGCGGCTGAAGTCAGGGTTTAGGGTTGAGGGTTTCGGGTTTCTTGCTTTCGGGTTTAAGGTTTTAGGCTTTACCTTTGCTTTGGAGTACCATACTTTAATACTTTTTTTTGGGACCTGTTCCTTAAAGGAGCCATTATGAAATAAAAGTCTATCCTTTTTCTCCCTGGTTACTTCAAAGCCCTAAACCCTAAACCCTAAACCCTAAAAGCCCAGTTAAGTTTTAGGGGTTTGTGAGCGTGTAGAGCCGAGCAGCTCCTAGGCGCCGCTGCGCAGGACTTCCTTGCTGTGACAGGTTTGGGGTTGAGGGTTAAGGGTTTAAGTATATGGGTAGTTCTCTAAATTAGGGTCCCTTTTGGCGTCCTTTTTACAAGGGTGCCGTACTATTTTGGGGACTTAAAAGGGGGACCCTAATTTAGAGAACTACCCATATGCGGAGTGCTATGTGTTCTGTCTAACCTGCGCTGCAGTGAAGAGGCTAGAGTCCTGCCGCTGTTGCCCGACTTGCTCTGGAAGTCGCAACCCTAAACCCTAAACCCTAAACCCTACACCTCCTCTCTAAGCAAGCTTTAACTGCGAGGCGTTCGCTGTTGGGGCGCCTCAGCCTGCGCTGCCTGTTGTCAGGCGGGCTGGGGAAGGAGCAAGCAACATGTTAAGGGTAAGCTCGCCAGGAATTTAGATACTAGTACTCTGACGGCCATTGGGCGTCGGTGGTGGGGTTTGAGGACAGCCCGAACCCTAAACTTGGATACCCTAAGACCCTTTCAGGTCAAATCCTAAAGCCACAGACCCTCAACACTAGTCGTAAACTCGGCAACCCCACAGCTGCAAGCCCTAAATCCCCGAAAGCCCTAAACGAGCCTGAGGCCTGCCTCAAAAGCTGGCCGACCTCCGCAGCCTGTGCCGGAACGAGGTCTGCTTTCGATGGCTGGGGCACTCTAGGAGTCGGAGTACTGTAATTACTGACACTGCTCCTTGGGGTTCCTTGTGGTAGTTATGATATGGGAGTTTCCGAAAATTAGGGGTACCATATTTAGGGGGCCCTGATATTAAGGATCTTATTATTTAGGGTACTATNNCCCCTTATTTTCGGAAATCCCCATATCTGCTAATCCTACTTACCACGTCAACGGATCGTCCGAGAAGGGTAGAGGGAGTCGAGTTTGGGATAGATTGGGCCAGGATTCAGGAGGATGTGTATTGAAAGGACACCTTGTTGTGAGACATCCCCCTCCCCACGGTGCCTGTTTCCCAAAGAATAGATATCAGGGCTTACGGAGAAGGCAAAGGGTTTTAGGGTTGAGGGTTGAGGGNNGGGTTGAGGGTTTAAGGTTTAGGAGGGCAGGGGCTTGGCCGAAGACTTTCAATGCTCGTCTGAAACCTCAAAGCTTCTATCCCTAGTAAAAAGCCCTCAAACCTAGACCTCTAATGCCTAAACCCTAAATGGTTAAAGCATGAGACCAGGCGCACAGCCGGCGTTGGCAGCCGTGGCCACGGTTCTGGCAGCAGGGGCTGCGGTGAAGAGGCAATGGCTTGAAAAGCCGAGATGCCCAACCGCTGATCCCGAAACACCTCGATCATGGCAAGCAGGGTCCATAACATGGGGTACGGGCTTTATGAAGGGGGCGGGGGCGGGGGGGGGGGGGGCACTAGGCTTGCTAAGTCACACCTTTGTCCATGTTTCCACCGAGACGCAAATCCCGAAGATGCTGCTCAGGAGGATCAGGGGGCTCATCAAGTCTGGGTCCTCGGTTTAGGGTTTAGGGTTTAGGGTTTAGGGTTTAGGGTTTAGGGTTTAGGGTTTAGGGTGGCTACAACTTTACATTTTTGTTCTAGTAGGATCCAATGTGGATTAGACATGATCCTTTTTCGTATAGC